TATATAAATATATGTATATACATGGGTTCTTGTTGATGGCATTAAAAATATTGCTAAGAGCTTTACAAGAGCATTAAAAAGCATTAAATCAGAGTTACTTATTCCTGTATAAATCCTGATTTACAATCAGTTTGCATCTACTGTGAAGCATGTTTTGTGTTAGAATTTTATTTATAAGCAATTAATGATTGAAAGTCAGGATTCTAATCATGAACAGAACAACTATTAGACTAAAGATGCTTAGCTAAAATAACTAGCAACCGCATCTGCTAATACAATAGTATTGTTTCTAGAGGAAAAAGGAAACTGTCAATAACTTTCTGAGGTTGGTTCCGCCCTCAAATTGACCAAAGTTGTCATGAGTTCCACACACAAGCAAAGGAGAATCTACAGATGCATGAAAAAGAAGTGATGAGTGCAGAGAAGGAGGAGGAACTCATGCATGTCATATACTATATTGGGGGCCTCAATGTAATGAATCTGCACGCATAGAACATTGAAAATATGCGTGAAAAAAAAAAGTTTACAAGTCAGTGTTTTAAATACAACTGCTTGTATGAGTATTGGCTGAATTCTGACCTTATACTTTAAATATTCTAAATTATTAATCAAGACAAAATGCAGCAATTTAGCTGCCTAGTGTTTTTCTACATGGTATTTTAATTGTTTGTAAGAAACTATGATACTACAGACATTTCATGAAGGTCAAGTAAAAACTGGACTGTTTATGTTTAGAGTCACAGTGCTTACAGAAAGTTTTTTTCCACCCCCATAATTTAAGGTTTCTGAATATTAAACAAATTTAGACCACAGCTAAAAATAAAGAGAAACGACATAATCAACCTTTGTGTAAAGGTTATCGGATCACACCCTACAACATATCCAGACCCAAGCCTTATCACTAATTAAGAAATCACTTAATTAGAACTTATTTGTAAAAACATAAAGCATTGAATCATGTCCTGATCTAAAGAAATTAAAGAGCAGACAAGAAACCAAATCATCAATGCTTTATTTTTTTACAAAAGGCTTTTGTATTCTGGTGAACAAATGAGAGGTTTTTTTCTAGAGTTGGGAAAAAACAACACATAAAACCTCCCGTTTGATGAAAAGGCTACCAAAATTAACCAAAGTGTGCTTTGCCAACTCCCCTAGGATATCATAAAAAATCCATGAGAAACACCAGAGGCAGGCTTCACTTACTTCTGTTAAGTTTAATACCCATGATGTAATAATAAGAGGTTGGACAAGAATTATACGAAAGGGTCCCAGGAGACAAAAATTACAGGTTATAAAAAGCAACTCAAGAGCAATTCAGCAGCATTGGTAAAATAAGAATAAAATACAAGGAGTTTGATGACCTACAATACTTTTGGGGAGAATATTCTAACTGCCAATTAAAAATCGGAGAGGATTTTAAAGGTGTTCATCCCTAAACATCTGTTTTAAGGCCTTGTAGAAAAAGCAGAGCAAACCCAAGTATGGTGGCTGTAGGGTGATACTCTCCCTCTTCTCTGCTTCTACAGAACTTAAGGTACTTCACCAAATTGATGATTGATTTCTGGACTCTGCTAAAGGATACATCAATTTGTAAAACCTTAAGTTTAAGCCCACTTATGTCATGCAAGTGGAAAACAATCTGAAACACACCCATAAGTCCATCTCTAAAGAGATAGAAAAAAAGACAACAGACTAGACATGGAGAAAATGCTGGAAAACCCTCCAATATGACTGATTTAAAATTCCTCAAAGAGATTTAAGAAACTGCCTGCAAGTTAGCGCCAATGTTTAATGGTAGTTAACTATGGAGTGATATTTGTTCCATTATTTCTGCAAGTAAAGAACATGTTTTGTACTGTAAATGGAAATTTGAGCCAAAAAGCTATTTAGAAATGTAACTTGAAATAAAAAACTACTCGATCAAGAAAGTGTTTTGAGAGTAAAGTTGCTATTTTCTTAGGATTTTAACTTTAGGAATTTTATTAAAAAAATCATTTTTTTTTTTACAGATTTTAGATTTTCATATGTTATTCTTTTAGATTTTTGGGGGGAACTGTAAAAACATCTCTTAGTGAGATTTTAAAATGCAGTAAATCATGTCCTGATCAATGAAAATCAATGCTTTTTTTAAGGCTTTCCAGTGAACAAATGAAAGGTTTTGTCCAAAGGTTTTTTTTTTTACAGATTTCATATTTTCAAATTTTATTCCTTTAGATTATTTGGGGGGGGGGACTCTATTATCCAACAGACAAATAGAAAGACGTCTTTGCTTCTCACTCCAGTGGAAAGTCGTGCCCCAGCAGTGAAAAGAATCTGATCTATAAAATTTGAAAAAGAGCTATGACACAAAAAGAAGATGAAAAGCCAAACTTTGAAAAGATAAATTATGAAAAAGATTAGAAAAATAAAATCTGAGAAAGAAGCAACTTTACTCTTACAATATCTTTTTGATTGAAGAGTTTTTCCAAGCTTTATTTCTGGATTGCTCTTTTTGTTTGATGTCCATTTACAAAAAAAATTTTCTATAGTTGTGACAATAAGAGGACAAAGTTCACTGCAAAATAATATTTCTTTAAAATAAGGCCAGTCAATTTGGATATTTTCTGTGTCTTTATTTATATTATATTTTGTATTTACAGAGGTAAGCAGAAGAAATGTGTGAGGAGACCCATAATGAGCCTCTTCCATGTACAACAAACTTACTTTTAGACCAAGTAGAGCTCCTGAGTCTCGAGGCACGCTTCCATCTTTCATACGTTTGTTGAGCAAAATACGACCAATAAGGCGATCTCCGTCTTTGGATGGCTGCCATGTCACAGGGTGCTACAAAGTCAGAGCAACAACACACCTTTTGTTTAACAACTTACTCACTGCAAGAGGTCAGACCAGAGCAAAGAAGACAACTGTCTCTGGTATAAAGGGGCATGAAGGAAGTACAATAGGAGACTCGACTTGGGGGAAGATGATTCACACAAACTCTGATGATTTATTACAGTTACTTTCTTCTTTAAAAAGATATTTTCGTTTCTTAATTAGCTCAACGAAGTATGCAATTGTAAAGAGGATGTTGCCATCGAATTTCTGGCGAGGTCAGAGAATCATTTTCAGAGCTTGTGTAAACCTGCAAGTGTGAGGTTGGAGTGAGATTCATGCAGCATCTCATGCAGAGTAAAGCAAGCAACCCTAATACTCCCCCTCAAACCAGCACTTTAAACAGCAGCAGGAAGATCGGAGTGTAACTCCGGGGCTTCAGTGCATACAAACAGACCACCACCATTGATAGAGTAGTGAGTGGGAAGCAGACAACACAAGGGGGGGTGAGAGGCAACCCATTATAGAGGAGCAAATGAAGTAGACCACTGGGTGCCAGAATAAAAATCAAAAAGGATGTAAGACTGAAGATCAAACATAAGCCATGAGACACAGATAATAAAAAAAAAGGGGGAAAGGGAAGGGAAAAAAGAAAATAAATGTTTAAATTTCTGGTGCAAAACAAATTCAACCTTTCCAGTTTTGTGTATGTGAGGGGATGTGCTATTAAAGTGAGTGCGAAATAAGGCAGGGACAGTTTTTCTTTTTCTTTTTTTTTCTGGACTGGGTAGTGTAGGGTAGGAAAGTAGAGCGAGAAAGACAGGTCTAAGTAAAAGGTATTCCTACTGAGCGAAACAGGACTGCTGCAGAGCAAAAAAAACAAAAAACAAAACACAATATACGAAAGGAGAACGAGCATGCAACTAGCACAGATCTACATTTCTGTGTGCCATGACAAACAGAGAAGTTGTGCGTCAGTGCTACCATTTAGTGCCCTGTCACACCTTGCTGATTTAGCCAGACTTCCCAGAATCTCATAAACGCTTGCATATGCTGAACTCTCTGGGGTTTTTTTAAGTTTGGGCGTATGCATAGCGTATTCATAATGAGTCGAGAACTTCTGTCCTACGACGACCTAACTTATGCATAATGCACGGCAGCGTAATGCCCAGGAAATGAAGAAGAAGCATAATTTCCTGGGAATTAAAAAGCATCAGTTAAAG